CAATTTTTAGTTTTCTCTAGGCTAATGAATCTAGTGAGGCAAAACCTTGATGATCTGTATTGTACTAAGATAAGAGGATAAAATTATGGAAAGAAATCCTCTTATCTTAGCAAAATCAACAACCCCACTAAGATAAGATAGCATAATAATTACATGCCGAAGATGACTACTAACGTGGAGCATATCCATTGACAGAGTGCTTGATCACTGTAAGGATGTAAACCTTGCTTCTTTGGAGTCCTTTTTTTACTGCATCCCGTTGTTGTTTTGCTTGCTAGTTCACAGTCGATTAGCAAGAAAAAACATTAGCAAGCCAGAAATGTTTGATTAGCAATTCAAAAACTTAGGTAGTTCCTTTTCAAAAATTTAGAAAATGAAATAAGGGACTATTTCGGAAGTGAACAATCGAAAGGGTTTTTTTTTGGCAAAAGAGATTCCCCAAAAGCACCACATAAACAAACCAACAATATAAAATGAAAAAAATCATTTACCCTAATCAATCAGATAGAGAGATACAAACTAGTTCACAGAAGCTGTTTGATTTGTTACCCAAAAGACAACCTAAGAGGGGGGTGAATTAGGTTTTTACAATTAAAATTAATAATACCCTAATAAAAATTATGACTAGCACAATAGATAAATATAATTAATGAAATAAAAATAATTAAAAAAGTGTCTTAACAACTATTCAGTTAATGTTTTAGCACAGTAAAAAATGTGAAATATTAGTATGGCAATTTAAAATAAAATAAAGAGATAAAGGAGAGAGAGGCAAACAAATTTATATGGTTCGGTTTCAACTCAGCCTACGTCCACTCCTAAGCTTCACTTGAGATTTTCCACTGTCTTCTAGCTTCACAGTGGTGCTAGCAACCTCTTTACAAATGGAGCAATCCTCCACGGATTTTTACACAGACTTCACAAGCCCAAACCCTTGCAAATCTTAGATGATTCACAATCAATCTCAAGATTTCAAGAACACAGTGTTTGCAACACTTTTACAAGATGGAAAGGTATTTTTGCTTTCAAAGAAGTTTACAATAAATATCTCTCAAAGATAAGATATAAAATGAAACTTTGATTTTTTTGTAAATCTCCACACAGGAAAGATGAGCTTAATGCTATAAGGCTCAGTGTATAATTTATGAGAATAGATGTGAGTGATTATAGATCAAAGAACGTTCAATTTTTTGTAACTTGTTTACATTAGAGGCTTTGGTATAAATAATGAAAATTATAGCCGTTGTATTCATTTGAATTTAAGCCATTTATAGTGTTGTAGTCATTTGAATTATAGCCGTTGTACTTCCATCATTATCAATTTGAATATCTTCCACTCCATCATTACAAATTTGAATATCTTCCACTCCATCATTACAAATTTAAATATCTTCCACTTGACCCTTTTTGAACCTTTTGACCTTTTGAACCTTTCATGGTGTGTCGGGGTTGAGGCCTCACCCGTTAGTCATGTAATGATATCTCAATGGATAAGCATTCTATTTCACATTTAATTCACTAGAGGAGCCAAATTTTATTTATTTTTTCTTTTTATTTTCGACAAAAGTGCTTCCCAATACTTTGGTTCTTCTATGTTGTGTGCTTAGGATGATTCATGTAACATTTTTCATTTCAAATAGCTTTGGGGAGTTGGTCTAACCAATTTGTTATGTTTACACTTGAAATTGGAATTACTCTTTTATTGTTCTTATTGCAATAATGCTCTACAAATTTTTCTGCATTTTAGGAACAGAAAAGGACTCCAAAAAAGCAATTAGAACCTGTTTTTGAGGTTTGAGATCCTTGGGTATCATTACTTTGGTTCTTCTATATTGTGTGCTTTTGGATGATTCATGTAACATTTTTCATTTCAAATAGCTTTAGGGAGTTGGTCTAACCAATTTCTTATGTTTATACTTGAAATTGGAATTACTCTTTTGTTGTTCTTATTGCAATAATGCTCTACATGTTTTTCTGCATTTCAGGCCCTTAATACACTTGGCAGTACCAAATGGAGAATAAATAAAAGGGTTCTTCTCGTATTATAGACAGAATATGGGCTAGCATTTTGATAGCAATTTGGTAGAATATCACATAAGACTTTATTAGTTTACATCACAATAAATTAACTGTGGTTTCAAGATCTGAGGGAATTTAATTGGGTGCATGAATATTATATAGATATGGTTTGCGTGAACTTCTCATTATGGTCTTGCTTTTTAAGTTATTCATGTATAGGAATGGTTTGGCTGATGGCGGTTCATTATATATATAGTATGGTTTGTCTATGACATTTTTCTGCTTCTTTTATTTTTTTCATTACCACGTGTCTCATTTGTCTATAACATATATCAAGTTTTTCTGTATCTTGATATAGTGACTTATTAATGCTTAATAATTATTTATTGAAATCATTATCAGTTTCAAATGTATTTTTAATTGAATTATAAGATAGGCGATAAATTTATTTTATTCCTTTCCTCCAATTCAAAACAGTAGGTATGATTTAACTAATGTGTTTTTTTAGTTTTTTTTTCCCAGTACATATAGTTTGTTCCATTGTTTGTTAGTTTCATTTTTTATTATGAACATGGGGTTGTTTGTTTCATTTTTTTTGGGAATGTTCCATCGTATTTTCAATGTGTTGGGTTAATTTTACTTGATAGTTAGTATAAATTGTTGATTAAATAGTTTTTTTTTTTTGGGATTTGGTGATAGACCCCTCACTGTCTAATTTATCTTTCAAAATGACAAGAATTATATAGGAACTTTCAAAACTCCCTCATATTTTAAAACTTGTTTCTTTACTATATTACTCTCATATCTATCAACTCTCCTATTAAGTCATACTCACAGTATATTTTAGAGTAAACTTTACTCTGATTCAGAGTAAAATTTTTACTCTGAATCAGAGTAAAGTTTACTATAATTCAAAGTAAAGTTTACTATGGTTCAAAATAAAATTTTATATCGTTAACCAAATCAACATGTTTTTAACCAGAGTAAAATTTCAGAGTAAAATTTTACTTTGATTCATAGTAAACTTTACTCTAATTCAAAATAAAATTGTAATCTGTATCAGAGTAAAATTTACTATGATTCAAAATAAAATTTTATATCATTAAGCAAATCAACATGTTTTTAACCAGAGTAAAATTTTACTTTGAATCAGAGTAAAATTTTACTCTGAAACTTTACTGTAAATTTAAAATAGAACATTAGCAAATAAATGACAGACCACATATTATTATAGTAAACCAGAGTAAAATTTTACTATCATTTAAACAGAGTATCAGCAAATAAAACAACTTTGACATATTATCAAAGCAATCTAAGTAAAATTAATCTAATAGTGATTGAACAAATTATTAAGAATCAAATAGTGATTGAACGAATCTCTAACTCTAACTCAAACAATGATTGAAATGTATATCTATGAGAACTTGAACCCAAGCCTTGAGTCGGCATGCTATACCAGAACCTCAAGCCCCTTACACTCATCAATCATCAACAGGAAGTCAATCTCCTACCCATTAGTGTCTTCGTGAAGAAGCAAACTAATGAAAAAACAATGTTTTAAATGAAACATATTTAAACCTGTTTAGTACCTTAAAATCGATCACGAAATGCAAGAATTTCAAATGAATTGCTGTTAAACGAAAAAAACAAAAATCGATCTTCGTCATCTCGAAGATTTCTCTATTACTTCTCACAAATCATTTCCAGTTATCGAATCATTGTCTAGAGTTTCATATGAGCTGTAGCATATAAAAATATATGTGTACTAGAAGGAGGGTAAAATAGCCCATAAAATTGTAGTCTTATTAGAATATGGACTTTATGCATTAAAGACATTGACCAGAGGGACTTTATGCATTAAAGATTTAAAACTTGGACTTTTAGAAGGAAGCTGTTAGTGTGAAGGGCTTATGGCCAATTTTCTTCTTTTTTTTTTTCCCCTTCTTTTCTTCTTGGGTCATAAATTTATGTTTGGACTTTCTAAATGATAATCATAAATTTAATTTCAAGACTATAAAATTGAAGTCAGTTGGGGAAGAGAAGAGTTTAAATTTGGACAATTGTTGTGCTCCCATTTTAATACTCTTTATGCTACTAGGCTGATTTTAATTTTATCATTTTAATGTGATTGTTAAAATACATCATTCAACAGTCATAATTATATAATCAAACATTTTCAGGTTGAAGTACAACAGTTATGGACAATATCACTATTTTCGGTCAAGGGAGTTTTTTTCCTCCCTTCATATAAATTTAAGTACCTCTTTTATAATGTAAGACCTATTTATTTAAAATAAAGCTTATTTATCTATTTATTTTAAACGTATCATATCTAATTTTCTTCTAATAAATGTTTTTTTCCTCATACTTTATAGGTGGATGAAGACTTACACAGAGCGGTAATATCAAGAAAGAAATGATTTTTTTAACTTATTTATCTGTACAAAGTTTTATTTATCACTCTAAAGTTTTTGTATATATAGATTCAATTTCTTCAAGAAAGAAATGTTAATGTTGTTGTTCGTGATGAGTGTGACCTTAATACTATTCACATTCATGAGGTAAGTCTAAAAGTAACTTATATACAAATGCATTTTCTTATCATTTTATAAATTATTTATAAGTAGATTCTACTTATTTTTTTATAGGCAAAGGCAAAAGAAAAACACAAAGCAATATCAAAGAAGACAGAAAAAGCTATCCCTTCTAGCAAAGGAAATGAACATGCAAATCTCGTGGTATGGTTTCTCAACATTTAAAAAAAATTGTTTTCCGAATATTTATTAAAATTTTGTTTTTATATAGATTTTTTTAAGAATTGCATAGTGTCATATACTCTTTTTTATGAGTTATTATTTTTTAAATATTTATTCAATTGTTTTGACTGATTGTTAAATATTTTTCTAAACCATGTTAAAGTAAGCATTTATACATGTTAATGCATTTGTCTGAACATTAATTTGAAATAGATTTTCAAATTTAATTAAATGAAGTTTTTAATTATATAAAATAGATTTTAAATTTTTTTATTTTACTTATAAGAAGTTCTTAAGGAAAGAAGAAAAAGACAACAATCAATGCGCAAGTTGCAGGTTGCAATTTTGTGTGTAATGTGTTTTCAAATTATTTTTTCCCTCCCTTTTTAAATTTCATCAATACACGCATTGGTTCTTATGTGACTAACAACTCAACCAAGCGAAGAAAAAAAGTTAGTTAAACTTTTGAGAACAATACATGATAAAAGGAAAGCAAGAGAGGGGGATAATCTTCACATTTTATGCACCTAATTATATAATATTCTCATTTTAGACACACAATGATAATGTGTTATCAAAAGCTGCATTGGCTCAACATGCACAGCGAGAATGTGAAAAAAATCAAAACCTATGTTCTGCATACCAATTAAGACAGCGCCTGCAACGAGAACAAGAGAGATCAAAGAAATGTATTAACCTAAGATAACCTTCTTTAACACCCAAGTGGTAAACAACTCTGTTAAATTCTTGAAATATATACTCTACTATTACCACTTTATTATACAGATTTTAATTTGTTCACAATCCATTTCACGACCTTAATGTTATTTGTGTTCGTGCTGTAAGTACAAAATCAAATCAAACATTGTATGTATTTTATTTATATAAGTTTTTTTTTTAAAATTTTTTGAACATTTTATTTATATTTGTTAGGCAAAAGAAAAATAAAAGGTCAACCCAATATTTAAGGGAAAAGAAAAGGTGGCTCATTTTGACAAGAAAATGACAAATGTGTGTCAAGTGGTATATATTCCTTTTAAAAAATATGAAGCAAAACTATATGAATTTGTTGCTTTATGTTGTTTTTGTAGAATGATTGTAATATATTCTCATGTAACTTGCTATTATTTATATGTGTTTTTCAAATTTATTTATTTTTATTTTGCATGGATACATGTGCATTTATAATGTACCATATGAAACGAATAGGGAAAAAAAAATGAAGGAATAAAGACAAGCTATCTAATGAAAGGATAAACTAAATAAGATAGATTTTTATTTCTTCTTTATTTTTTTAATAAAAAAAATGCATGAAGAAAGAAAGAAATACATATAATACTATTAAAGGTATAAAACAAATAAAATATAAAACAAAATTAAGAGAAACGGAAGAAACAAGAAGATATTTCATTTTAAGCACAAAATATTCACATATTTTGCACCAATGACAAAATATTTTCATTTTAGGCACAAAATGATAATGTAATATCAAAAGCTGCATTGGCCCAACGTGCACGACGAGAGCTTGAAAAAAATGAAAAGTCACACTTTGAATTTCAATGCTTGCAACGAGAACAAGAAGGATCAGAAGAATGTATTCAACTAATACAACCTTCTTTAACACCAATTCGTCGCAATCGCGCTTGTCTAGAATGGGAAACAATAACTGAAGATTCTTATTCGACACCAAAACGAACATTGGTTGTCCATTATTCTACATGTTCGTTTTTTATGCCAAGCACATCTTTAGCTCCACAAAGGAATCGGTAAACTACTCTGTCTAATCTTGAAATATATACTCTTATTCATACCATTTTGTTTTATAGAGTTTTATTTATACACAAATATTCGTAGGTCTACTCGTATAAATCAATTTCTTCAAGAAGATCTATGTACTAATGATGAATTAGAAGATATGCCTATGAATACATTAATTGATGCCCAAGCACACAAAGATTCTTACCGCCATTATCTTGGCAAGATGTATGTATTATGTCCTTATTGTTCAGCCTTACATTGGATGGATGGAAAATTGACCAAATCATCTATAAAACGTTCCTTATTCGGAACTTGCTATTTGGAAGGAAAGATTAGGCTACCTTTACTTATTACACCCCCTCCATTACTTCTGGTGTTGTATGATGGGAATAATGATAAATCAAAATCCTTTCGAAGTTATACTCGATTTTACAATGCAGCCAATGCTTTTATGAGTCTTGGTGCTACATTGGATTCTAGAGTACTCAGTGGAAGGGGCCCTACATCATTCACAATTCATGGGGAATTACGACATCGAACAGGATCACTACAACCACAACCAGGGCAGGATATGAGTTATAGTGAACTGTATATCTATGACCCTAATTCAATGTTAAAAATTCGTAATCATAGAAATCCTAATTTGAAAAGGGATGTTCTCAAAACTATTCATGATAGTTTGTTGCAAGTCAATGCATTTGTAGCTACATTTCACCAAGCTCATTCCATTTTACATCAACTAGACTCGGCAAGACACAATCTATTTGCTCATCTTCATTACAATTCAACAATTGATCGATGTCGATATAACCTATCAACTACAGATGAGATTGTAATTATAATACCAAGTGGTGGAATAGAGGTAAGTGAAATGAGAGATATTATCTTACATTTCTAAGGAAATAATGAGTTGATGCAAATTAATGAATGTTAGCCAGTATACTTGCTAGTACATTATGTTCAATTATTTCCATATGGTGAGCTTGGATGGGAACCTGAGTTGAAATTGTGAAACGTTCAATATGATCAACCTTCAATTGATTGACTTACTCAAATGGATTTTTATAGTTATCGTTTGTTTGAACGACCCACAGAGTATTCAACAATTTTGAGAGGTGGGAAACTATTTCAAGAGTTTTTGGTAGATGCTTAGGCCACAACTGAGCAAAATCGATTGACATACTACAAGCTTAATCAAGGGAAATTCGGGTTAAACTTTACCAAACGTTGTCAGATATTGATCCAGAATTAGTCAAAGGTTTGTTTTGTCATCTTTATTTACTGGTAGTCCTAAACATATGTTTGAAATCTTTCATGATTCAATGGCTATCACCCGATACAAGCGACACCTAGATATTTTTCTTACCATGACTGCAAATCCTAATTGGCCAGAAATTACTTCAGGATTATTACCACATCAAAAACCTATTGATTGTCCTGATTTAATTGCCCGTGTTTTTAAATTGAAGAGAAAATGTTTGATGAAGGAGATAGAAACAAATAAAGTGTTTGGAAATAAAGTTGCACATGTTTTTACAATTGAATTTAAAAAACGAGGCCTCCCCTATATGCATGCACTTTTATTTCTTAAGGGTCCAGACAAAATTCGGACATGTGCTCAAGTAGACAAATTGGTCTGTGCAGAATTTCCAGACCCAAAAGATGATCTTATGCTTTTTGAAACTGTCAAATGTTATATGGTACATGGACCATGTGGTGCTCGAAATCCGCATGCATCATGTATGGAAAATGGTAGATGCAGTAAGAGATACCATCGAGCTTTCACAGAAACAACAACCATGGATCAAGATGGATACCCTACCTATTGTCGTCGCAATAATGGTCAAGTACATACTTCAAGGGGACAAGAAGTTGATAATAGGGATGTCGTACCATACAATGCATATCTTTCTAAACTTTTTAACTGTCATATAAATGTGAAAGTTTGTGCTAGAATGAGATGTGTCAAGTATATACATAAGTACATTTACAAGGGTTATGATCGTACAACGATGATGTTGGGATTGATAAATGAGATTTAAAAATATCTCGATGCAAGGTATATTGGACCTCCAGAAACTGCTTGGCAAATATTTGGTTATCCTTTGCATGCAGAGATACCAACAGTTGTACGATTGACACTTCATTTACCTGGAATGCATCACGTTGTTTTTAACCCAGAAAAGTCATTAGAAACAATTCAATCTAGAGTTGGTCAACAAACGTCAACTCTTACAAGCTTCTTTGCATATTGTGCTACAGTGAACATGAATTTCCATTTACTTATCAAGAATTTCCACAACATTTTGTTTGGCTCAAGTCGGATAAGAGATGGAAATTAAGAGAAAGGGGATATGCAATTGGTAGAATGTACTGTTCTAGCCCTAATTGTGGTGAAAGATTTTATCTACGTTTGTTACTAACTATTGTCAAAGGACCAAAGTCGTATTGGTCTTTACGTACGGTCGATAATGTTGTGCATGATACATTTAAATTAGCATGTATTGCAAGGGGGCTTTTAGAAGATGATGAAAAATGGATATAATGTTTGAAAGAGGTCGCAGTTATGAAAACCAGATACTAATTGAGGAGATTGTTTAGTATTATTCTCACCCAGTGCTCTCCATTACATCCATGT